AACCAGGGTGAGAATACATTTTCAGATCTGCTTATAGCCCGTAACGCGTTGCAGATCACTCTTCGAGAATCACTCAAATGGAAAGTGAGTCTCAGCGGTGGTGAGACAGAAAGATGTCAGAAAACCTGAAATCTGGTTTGACTCTGTTCCTCACTAAGTGTGTAATCTTAGCCAATTTCATGGAGCTACATTTGTCTCCTTTATAAAGTGAGGGTGATATCTTCTGTATTGGGGGTTCTAAAGATGAAATGAAAGGGTGTGTATAAGGCACTCTGTAAACTAGAAAGCCTTGGCTGAATGACTGGACTGTTCATTAGGGTTACACTCAGAGAAAACACATTTGACTTGAAGTAAGGGGTGTAATTTCCCTGAGCACAGAGCTTCCCAGGGCCAGGATGGTAGGAAAAGGTCACTAAGAGGGAACAGAGTCCTATTTCTTTGTTGCAGATGAGAATGCCCACTTCTTAGGGCTGTGGGTGAGGCCTGAAATCCAAATGTCTGTCTCCCTTGGTCTTTTCTCACGGCCAGGTATGACCTCCACTCCGTTCTCCAGTCTCCCCTTCTCTGGTCTCCAAACCGAAGCCCTGACTCCTCCCCAGGCCTATTACCAACCTGACCTCATTTTCAAATTCCCTCCCTGTCACTCTCTTTCTTCCAGCCACACAGGCTTCCTTACTATCCTTCACATGCTCCAGGCAGCGCTGCGTTCCCCCTGAGTGCTCTTCCTCTGGATGGATATCTGTGGGTGGCTCACTCTGTCCCACCCTCAGGTCTCTGGTCAAATGTCACCTTTCCAGTGAGGCCTTCCGTGACTCTGTTAGAAACTGCACACTGCTCCCTCCACTAGTCTTTTGCTTTCCCTTTCCTGCTTTATTTTCCCTCACAGGGCTTATTGCCGCCTAAAGTACTATATATTTTATTTATTTAGCTAGTTTACCATCTGTCTTTTGCCATTAGAGCGAAGGCACCAATAAGGCATGGGTTTTTGTCTGCTTTGTTCATGCCGATTCCCTCAGCAGCTACAGGAGGGCCCAGCCCATGGGGACAGGGACTCGTCACAGGTTGCAGAGCGGGGACCTGGGCTTGGCTCTGCGGGTTCCCAGTTTGCTTTTATTTCTATTTCCCTTTGCCTGACACCACAACTGACGGTCCATTCATTCATTAATTCATTCAACAGTTATTTAGGCTTTCAGTGTATTTGTGGAAACATTGAGGAACAACTCAGCACCCTTGCCCTCAGGGAGCAAGGAAGACAGATAGTGAATTATACGAAGTTTCAGGTGGAGGTGAGAGTATAGATATGGAGCGGGGTAAGGGGACCGCAGAATGACAGAGGATGGTTGGGAAGGCGTCACTAGAAGTGACATTGAGTAAAGCCCTGGAGGAGGAGAGGGAGAGAGCTATGTGAATCCCTGGGAGAATGTGGTTGTGGGCACAAGGAACTGCAGGCCATGGGCTCTGTTCTGAAACTGATGGTTGCCAGAGGGAGTGGGTGGGGGAGGAGCAGCGTCGGGGGAAGGGGAGCAGGAGACACAGGCTTCCAGTTACAGAATGAATGAAGAGGCCACGAGAGTAAAAGGCACAGCATAGGGAATATAGTCAATGGTATTGCAGTAGTGATGTACAGGGACAGATGGTAGCTACCCTTGTGGTGAGCACAGCATAATGAATATACTTGTGGAATCACTATGTTGTACGCCTGAAACTAATGTAACATTATGTGTCAACTATACTTCGATTAAAAAAAAGAAGGAAAAAAAAGAAGGCTCTGTTCTGGGAGATGCTTATTGGGAACGAGAGGGGAATGCCAGAGACAGGAACAGGAAAGTTATCTCTTGGAATTTTAGAAACACACTGATGAGCCCAGGATTTTCTGGACTCTTTTTCTTGGGGTCAAGATAATCTGTTCATTGCCTGGATCTTTCTGAGTGTAGAGACCTTCGAGTCCAGGGGTGTAGTGTGAAGAATGGGCCTTGCCTGGAGAATACCTCCTTGGGTAGCTGGTTTGGGTATGGGCGCAGGAGCACGTCCTTGGTGAAGGCGGGATGGTGGTGGGGGATGGTGGTTGGAAGGGAAACAGCCTAACTGTGGCTTCAGACCCTGCAGGCAGCTTGGAAAGGAGCCCAGTAGAGGTGGAGGGGGAGGCTGGGCCAGGCAGGAAAAGCCTCCCATGTGCCTCTATCAAACTGCAGTCCCAACAGAAAAGAAAAGTTCTCAAGTGCACAGATAGTGGAATCAGACAGATGATACAAATTTTGACTCTGTGATCTTGGAGAACCCACCTCCCATCTGCAAACAGGTGAGGAATAGTACCTAGCTCCGCATGACCATTGTGAGAAGTGCATAAAATGGCATTCATTAATAAAGTGCCTTGTCCAGTGGCCTGATACATAATAGACACTCAGAAAGTGGTAGTTAATATAGTGATGACACATAATACATATTATTCTAAGTGTATCTCATGACCCACTTTCCTGAAGATGCTCCTGATGACTATGGCCCTTTTCTAAGTTCCTATCATTGTCATGGTCAGTAGCACATGCTTACATCGTGGTTCTTTATTCCATGCTGTTTTGTCCTGTTTTCTGGTTCTGCTTTATGAAGTTAAGCGGTATGCCCAGGTTTTCTCTATCCAGAGGGATGAAAGGTTGATGGATTTGGGTCTGTGGGTTTGTGTAGACCTTTTGTTAGTTTTGTGCTACCCAGGAGCCCTGCAGATAAGAACACAAAAGGAGCTTCCAAGGAAAAGGAAGCTTCAAAAGAAAGTAGGCTTCTGAGAAGATAAAGTCTCTGGGTTTGCAGTGAGGCCTCCTCAATCCAATATTACTTGGCTAAAAAAGAAGGCATCATTCAAAGATATTCTGGATCCTTCTCTCTCTGGATGCCCCTTATCTTTTCATTTCAAAGGATGAAGGAATGTACCAGCTCAGTATTTCCCAGACTTCAATTAATCACATTTCTGTTTTGTCACATCTGTCATATAATTTGCTTAATAATTTTTAAAAATTCACTCTTTAAAATTTTTTTTTAATGTTTATATTCTTGAGAGAGAAAGAGACAGAGTGTGAGTGGGGGAGGGGCAGAGAGAGACGGGGAGACAGATTCTGCAGTAGGCTCCAGGCTCTGAGCTGTCAGCACAGAGCCTGACGTGAGGCTTGACCTCACGAACCGTGAGATCATGACCTGAGTCAAAGTTGGATGCTTAACTGACTAAGCCACCCAGGCACCTCTTAAATTTACTTACCTTTTAACTTAAAATATAATTAAAAGGAAACTTTAAGTCATAGAGGTTTGACAACCTAGTTGTACTATTCTGATATCCATTAAAAGATAGCACAATGAAAATGAAAAAGTCTATGTACCATATAAAACCTCAGGTTGTGCATTCCACACACTTAGGAAAACACTGGATCATAACTCAGCAAACAGAAGGACTTAATTTATTAGGAAGAGCATGGTGAACAAAGGGAGGTTAGGGAAATCAGTCACTCACTCCACTGGGAATGTGGATAAACTATTATCTTAGTGAGAAATTTTAAAGCCAATGAGGTCTAAAGGCAAGGACTTGAACTAGTTGAATTTTCAAAATGTTGCTATGATTTTTCTCTCTCTTTTTTTAAAATCTGAATTTCTCTGCCCTGACAGTGCTAGCACAGCTTGGGATCTCTCTCTCTTTCTGGATGCAAAGCCATACCCTGTTTCTCCCCATAGTAGGTGAGGCCTGGGAATGGCCAGCCTGCGTTCCTTCTTCTTCCTTCCTCAGCCCCGAATTCTACGGTTCCCTCACATCATACATGTAGGCATTCTCTGAGAGGAGACCACCCCATCAAATTCTCCCACCCCACCTCTCTGGAGCTTTCTTTTACTTTGGAAAACACAAGCTGAATGTCAAAGCATCAGGCTAGAGTGTGCTGTTAATTTTCTAGTAGCCAGCTCAGCAAATTTGGGACCACTGACCCCACTGTTAGATTTCCCTAGGACCTTTGAAATGGGGTTTTGTATTTTCTTTCTTTCTTTCTCTTTCTTTCTTTCTTTCTTTCTTTCTTTCTTTCTTTCTTTCTTTCCTTTTTACATTAGCTGGCTTAATATTAATATACACTATTTAACTGGAAGCTTCTGACAAATGGAGACTTTTTAAAAAATTTTTTTAGCAAGACATGGTTGAATTCAAATGTCATTTAAATGACACAAAAAGATGCCTTCTGTGTTGAGTACAATCTTTTGACAACTTCACCGTCGATTCTTTTATAGCAGTTAATTAACGAGTGGCACCATACCCTCTTCGTGAGGAAGATGAACACCATGAGTTGTTAGGGAATTTCTCCTGCCTGTGTCCTATAGACTTTAAAGCATTTCTTAGTTGGAGGCATTACACCTTCACTTTGTTCTGCTTCGGATCTGGTCTCGCTGGGAACCAGAATGTTCCCGCTTCCTCACTAGTAACCTAGCTTCCATTTGTAGCTCAAACAATTAGAAGCCGATGTCTGGAACTGGGTTTTTGTTTGTTTTTTTCTGAAGAGAAATGTAGCAACCCCAGTGACCACCCTCTGGCTTCACCCTCCAGGGCCAGTGAGCTGTCTTGAGAGCGTGTGTTTGGCCTAAGGAAGGTCAGAAGTAGTCATATTTACATTTAAAGAACTTTGATAGAATCATTTAGGCTCAGATCAACCTTTTTCCTGATGGGTTCTCTCCTTGGGGAGTTAAGCCAACGACTCTGTGGTCTCTACAGCCTGACCTGAGTCCTGCAGATTGGGCAGAATTTTCTCAGTTTCTCTGGACTTGTGTGGGTTCTTTTGCAGCTCCAGCACCTGTTTTTGTTTTTTACAGACAAACCTCCTCCCAGCTCCCATCGAGGGGACTAACCATAGTTCACATCTTCCCTAAAGTCCTCCTTGACATGGTTTTGGTGCTATTACTACCTGTTTCACATTTCCTGATATTTCTGCCCCCTTCAGTGGAGGAGCCCCTAAACTCAAAGAACAGATAAATGCGTTACTTACTTGATTTGACAGTCAGGCGAGTTCCTTTTCCGAAGACGAGTTTGTGTCAGAGCAGTTGAAGGCATTCCAAAAACCTCAACGGTTGTCCGCGGGAGCTCCTCTTCTTATTAGCTTTAGGACTGGAGGGTCTTCAGGGCTCAGCTCTTAGAAAAATGGCCCTCATTGCTTAGCCAACTGGTTCGTGATGATTTGATCAATCGCAAGTGGGCTTGCTTTTGGGAGGCTGCCTGAGGCGTAGGTAGGGGCACTTGTTCCTATGGGGAACATTTCTAGTCTAGTACACCTCGTGATGTCCTCTGAACGATTGCTTTCTCTTGTTTTAGATTGTTCTTACTCCCAGACCCACCCCTAACTCTCAGTCTTGGAAAACTGGCAATGTCAAGAAGATGGGTCTCGGGTTTGTGACTATTCTAGAGTCAAGGGCCTTTACATTCACCAGGGCTGCTTTAAGGACAGATAGCATGTGGCATAACAAGAGGTGACAGGGCAGCATGAAGCCCTGATGAGGGCCCGGTGATTTACAGTTCGGTCAGTGTTAGAACGAACAACTGTGGCTGGCATTCCCCTAAAAACCAATCAATCTCTCTTTGAATTTGTTTTCTCTAAACTGCAAAGCAAAACACTCAGGCAAATCTCTCTAGGGATTTGGATTCAGAAATTCCATCTGAGATGGCTCATATAACCCTTATGACAGAATCAACGTGAACATAGACAGGAATAGTTTTTAAAGAAACACCTTTTGCATTCCCCCCATGTGGCTGTGGGGATATGTTGAAATGCCAGTTTCATTCAAGGGAGAACAGCAGTGAGCGAGAGGCCAGCCGTGGGTGTGGGCGGGGGTCACTTTTCCTGGTCCAGTCAATTTTGTGGCGTCCTTTCTGGGTTCCTGAGCCAAGAGGGGTGGCTTCCTGCTGTGTTTGACCCTCGGGGCATGGTAGCCAGGCTGAGGTTTTCCCTGGGAAATGCCACTTTTGCTGCCTGCAGTTTTTGTACAGGTCTCTGTGGGTTTTGTAGCACTGTGAGTATCCCACCAATCACGGTGCTACAGAGCTTTACAAAAACCTGCCCTGGGTTTCTCTATGTGGCCTCTGATAGTCTTCTCCCAGTCAAGCTCCAGCAAGATCAAAGGGTTTTGGCAGTTAGCTCAGGGCAGGCTTGCCTAGGTGCTGCTGTCTGAGGCTTTTCTGCCCTGCTGGCTGGATCTGCCCTGGAGTTTTCGACCATGATGGACATTCAGAAGTCATCGTGTCCGTTCCCATCTGTGCCTTTGGCCAGTCTACCTCAGATGGCTTCCACAGAGGAGTCTGTCAGATTTCTGGATGTCTCGAGTGGGTTCTACGCATTGTGTGGGCTGGGCAGAAAATGTTTGCGGTCAGGGTAATTTCCCCTGTGACCTCCTAAGCCTCTGAATCACCTCTGCCTGCCCCACTTTGCACCTCAATAGTGTTGGAGGTTTAGAAAGGGCTGTCATGTAAATTGAAAATTTCATCCTCTTCATGGACTCTCCTGGTTGCCAGCAGCCCATATGGTGCTTTGTGTGATGTTGAAAAGGCAGCCCTGTTGGGCAAATGCTGAGGCAGTCCCTTGGGTCCAAGCCTGGCGAACAGATGGCACCTTTGTGTGCTTTATAAAAGCCACCCCTTTCTCCAGCTGATGCCGCATTGCACCAGGCCTGGGCTCAGCTGGCCGAGCGCACTCTGGATTTTAGCCCCGCTCGTCCCCTCAGCCGAGTGCCCTTGTGCAAGGCATGGCCAATGTGACAAGACACAGTGGCTTTGGCCAAAGTCAATGCATGCTTTTTATTCGTATTCTTGTTTGACCTCTGATTTTGGACAAGTTATTCCCTTTTCGAAAACTCCTCTGGGGCCCTCCACACACTGGTCCTGGTTTGCCTGTGATCTCTGTGTCTGTCACTGTGAAGATAAAGTGATATGCTAGGCTCATCGAAAGTGACATTATTGAATGGTAACCCATTTGAAGAGAGTGTGGATTTTGCTGTTGTTGCTATCAATAGGAAGCAAGATTAAAAAAAGGTTTATCTTCACACTCTCTTTGGGAGATCTTATCCAAATCCATGGCTTGATTAAGTACCTCAGTTCTAGTTATAATCTTTGTGACAAGTCCTTCCCACCCTGCATACAACTGTATGACTGTCGCATAAATATTGAGCAACCTCATCCCCGTGTACAGAGTCTAACATTCTTTTGCTGGGAGAAAAAAACAACCAAATAAACAAACAAAAAAACAACAACCAAAAAACCAAAAACCGAAACCAAACAAACCAAAGAGTGAACAGGAAAAAAGGAAAAGAAGAAGCGTTACGGTCTCAGTAATCACGTAAAGGGTTGACTTTGGGGCAGAAAGGAAGGAAATGTGGGCCTCGTGGGGAGGGCCAGATGTGAACAAGGAATTATAACCTGGACTCTTGAGTAGAGCTGGTTTTAGGTGCTAGTGTTTACAACGGCAGGAGGTAGTTACTGCGTTTGAAAATGAATTAAGGGACTGCTTAATCTGCGTGAGACTCACTGACTCCTTCCTAGAGCTTTCCCAAGCAGCCATTAGAAGTCGGTTTGATTGGAGCTAGTTATAGGAAACAAATAGTTGAGGATGAAAAGCAGTGGAACTCTGGAGTAATCCCAAAACCTGAACCATACAAACGTGTGGATCTGGGACAGTGCATCTTACAATCCCATGGCTGTGGCAGAGAGTTCTGGGGTGACGAATCCTGATGAGAATGCTGCTGTTGTAGCTTCCAATTCTTCACCCCTCCCTGCAACAGAAGTATGTGTCCAGGTACTTTGCCTCATGACTTTGCAAGGCCTTCTGTGAGCAGAGTATGTATCCCACTCATTGGCTTTGGGGCTTGGCCATGCTTTAATAGAATATGGGTGGAAGTGACAGTGTGCTAGTCTAGGCTGAGGCTCCAAGAGACATCCCAGCATGGATTTTCACAGCACTCTTGAATCTCTTTCTTCTGAGATGAGAGGAGTCTGCTCCAAGGAGTCACTGCTGCTTCAGCCAGGGTCCTAGAATGACGACATGTAGAACAGAACTGAATCCAACCCACATATTGAAGCCAAGTCCAGCTGGACTGCAGGCCAGTGAGCCAAAGCAATATATGTTTGTTGTTGTAAGCAGCAGACAATTTGGGATTGTTACAGGTCACAATCACAGGAGAAATAGCTAATTAATACAGATGTTAAGCCTCGGGGTGACCTCAAATATGAAATTACATGCTTGAAATTATTGGTAGCTCCCCATTATCTTCAAGATAAAATGATTTGTAACATAGGCTTTTGTTTACCTATCCAGACCTACATCTTGTACCTTTTCACTTGCTCCCATAAACTCAGATGCACGGAACTACATGCTTCCGGAAAGCTCCATGTCCTTCTGGACCTCTTTGCCTTTGCCATGTGATTGCTTTTGCCTGAAATGCCTTCTTATTCTTTGGTTCCCCAATTTGGATCTTAACCCACTTCCTTAGATCCTATTTATTTTCTGGTCTTAGCTTTGCAGTCGAATTACTTGCCGGAGGAGGGGTAAATGCTGGTGAAAGACTGAATTGGGTTAGATACCCACACTTTCCCTAAATTTTCATGAAAACCATTTTCCCCTCTTTTTCATTAGGTAGAGACCCTTGAGAGGAGGGATTTGTCTTGTTCATCTCTGTATATTCTGTGCCGGCACAGTGCCTGACCAGTGAGTGCTCAGAAAGTGTCTTCTGAATCCGTTTTAAGGATGAGATATCTCAGGCTCAGAGAGGATAAGTTAGGAAGCAATACAGCCATGGCCAGAACGTATATAGCCCTCTGCTCTCTCTCTCTCTGGCACCAGGCTGCCTTATGGAACACTACCTGCAGTTGTTTAGTGAAGCAGAGCAACATTACTTGTGAGCAAATTGATTTTTAACATTAGCCTGAGTTAAGCATCATCGGGAAGACAAATTTGTTGTGATTTGCTGCACACCATGAAATATATTCTACAGTCACATAGAAATGAGTTTCCCCTCGTCTATATTCAAATCACATTCTTTATCACTAACATGAGTAATCAAGGATCAGTTGTGCCTCTGGAGAGGAATCCTAGAGTGTCATGGCTGGGGGAGACCTCAAGGATCATGTACTCACTCCCTGGAATGTTCAGATGAAAGAGTCTAGAAAGATCCAGTGAGGTTTTACAACTTTGCCAAAGCACCCAGTTTCAAAGAAGCATCCAAGAAATCAAGTATCCCAATTCCTAGTCCAGTGCTAGTTTTTATTTTTATTTATTTAAAAAATTTTTTTTAATGTTTATTTTTGAGACAGAGAGAGACAGAGCATGAATGGGGGAGGGGCAGAGAGAGAGGGAGACACAGAATCCAAAGCAGGCTCCAGGCTTTGAGCTGTCAGCACAGAGCCCGACATGGGGCTTGAACTCATGGACCATGAGATCATGACCTGAGCTGAAGTCAGATGCTTAACTGACAGAGCCACCCAGACTCCCCTACTAGTTTTTAGTACACTAGGCAAATACCCAGTCTTCTTTGGCTTTTATTCTGGCATTTATCATTTGAAAGTGTTTCTGGGTATCGTCTCAGCTGACCTCCTTGTCTGAAGTGGCCATAGGCTGGCTTGGGTAACCTGTCCTTTTCTTTCTCTATGTGGTTTTACACTGTTGTATGAGATGCTGTTCTGTGGGAACGGCGTGGAGCAGGCACAGGGCAGGTGTATCCTAAAGTTCAGCACTTCCTGGAGGGAGGCTGGGCCATGTTCTCAGTCAGTCAACTTCATTCTGAGGTGGGTACAGAGGGAAGGGAAACTGTGTGAAAACTGGGCTTGCCATGGTATTGTCCATTCCCAGCTAAGACCAGGCCCCAAGCTCAGAGACTCCAAGTACTTTGAGAAAATTCATGGGATACCAAAGCAAGAAATGAAGTAAGCGCTGATCAGGGATATCCTCCAGGCTTGAAATATTTGGAATTGTGGACTTTGAACTAGCTGTATTTATCACCACGCCTGCTCCCAGTATTGACATGTACTGTTTGAGGGTTATAAACAAACTGCAGTGTATTTAAAGGAGGATACCAGGCTGTTAAAGATACTTTGTATCATGTACAGGGAGGAACATGGAGAGCAAAAAAACATGTGGGAGTGTAGACAGAAGGAAGGGAGAGATAGATACTGGGGGTGTTTGATCATAGTCTTTGGTATCTGTCAGGGCAGAGCTGGCTTATTAATAGGCAGCTGGATTCTCATGTCTACTTATGCATTCCATCTACTGAAATCTGCTGGTTTGGTTTAAAAATATGAGAAAACTCTGGACTTGCACAGATCTGCAGTTTGAAAAAAGATGTTAATTGCAATGTGGAATCTGAAACCATATTAATGAACTTTTCATATTCTTTTATACTCAAATCCATTGGTCTAGCTTGCATTTTGGATGGAACCTTCGCTGGTGCATGGTTTTGTAACACTATCCATTGGTCATTTGGTAAATAATTGGTTCACTGATTTAGGCAACTTCCACATGTTGACACATTTCATTATACAGTGTCAAACTATCACAGTAGTTAATATCACCATCAACATCTTTAAATCAGAAAAGTATTTAAACACGGGGGGGGGGGGGGGGCGCGGGCGGAGCATTCAGCTCATGGTGGCAGATACAAGTTTTCCCAAATTCTGCTTTTTGCCTGAAAGCTTAGATTTTTTTTATCATTAGCCACAATTTTCAGTTTTTCTTGACGTGACAGGCTCAGTTCATTCATTTTCAAGGAGATGCCTGCCAAATGCCCAAGTCTGAATACCCATAGTTTATCTGTCAGTTATTCTTTCAAGCAAAAGTGACGTCTCATGGAAAAACTGGCTAGTTCAGCTTGCAATTCAGCCTATTGCACAAATGTTTTCCCTTGAGATAACTATCCTAATTTAGAATGCAGCATAAGTATTTTGTGTGTACTTCCCCTTTTGTCACACAGAACATTAAAAAAAAACATATCCAAGAGTTGAGAGTTTATGAAATTAATACTTTTTACTGCTTCGTCATTGTTATAGACTGAATTGTGTCCTCCCCAAAATTCATATGTTGAAGTATTCTCTCCCAGTACCCCCAGAATGTGGCTGTATTTAGAGTTAGGGTGTTTTTTTAAAAAAATATTTATGTATTTTTGAGAGAGAGAGAGAGAGAGAGAGAGAGAGCACACAAGTGAGGGAGGGGCAGAGAGAAAGAGAGAGTGAGAGAGACATAGAATCCAAAACAGGCTCCCAACTCTGAGCTGTCAGCACAGAATCCCATGCAGGACCTGAACCCATGAACTGCAAGATGATGACCTCAGCTAAAGTCAGATGCTTAACTGTCTGGGCCACCCAGGTGTCCCTAGAGTTCGAATTTTTAAAGATATGGTTAAAATGAGGCCATCTGGATTGGAATAGCATGGATCCTAATTTAGTCTGACTGGTATCCTTATAAGAAGAGGAAATTTGGACACGAAGAAAGGAGCCCAGGGGTATGCATGCACAGAGGAAAGGCCATGTGAGGACACAGAGAGAAGGTGGCCATCTATAAGCTAAGGAAAGAGGCCTCAGGAAGAACCAACTCTGCAGGCACCTTGATCTTGGACCATCAGCCTCAGAACGAAGAAAATAGATTCCTGTTGTTTAAACCGTACTGCATGTGGTATTTTATTATGGCAGCCCTGGCAAACTAATACAGTTAATAGTACTTTAAAATGAAACCGGCTTTTTTCCACCTGAAAATAACATGGCAGTAAAGAATACAATGACTCATAACACAGCATTGATGCCACTGCTTTGATTCATGCTACAGGGCCGGAAATTTGACCATCAGTGTAGAAATCAACAGAATGAAAAAGGCAAGTCGTGTTTTGGTATTATTGTGAAAATAGTTCTTACCTCATGGAGTCCCTGAAAATGTCTTGGGGACCCTACAGGTCCACGGGCTCTACTTTGGGAACTACTGTTCTACATTTGTTCTTCTGCTGCCGAAGCTGCAATGGCAGCTGGCTTTCTCTACTGCTCCAGCACGCTCGACTTGCTTGCTAGTGATTAGCAGATCATTTGCATCATATGCTTTGACTGATCGATGAATAAGTGGTCAGAAGCCACAGTGCACAGCAGCATCCAGTTCTGTAAAAATGAGAAAATTGACCCAAATACTTTGGTTGAATCTCTAGAGTCAAGGACCAGGGATCTGTAAGTCATCTGCCACTGGTTTCTTCTGCGTGATGGTACTCTGGGGGGACAGACACTGGATCCAGGACGGTTGTGCTTTGGTGACAGAGGGAGGGCTCAGTGAAAGCGTAGAGTCTGACTACATTACCATCAGTACCCATACAACATTTCTGTGGCAGTAGTTCAGACTTTCCATGAAAAATGATGTTTACTTATTTAACGGGCAGCTAGTTGGGACGGTAACTTGAATGTTTGGCAAAACTATAAAGAAGAGGAATAGAGCAAAATGCTTGCGGGTTTAATGGGTCAAATAATACCCTTAGTGACTGGATAGGAATTAAAAGAGGCCAGGCTTTTGAATAGAGCATAATATAAGGTCCCGAGTATGGATAAATCTAGTCAAGTTCCCCTCATTCAGGGGACTCCTGATATACCCCGACTTTTGCCAGAACCTTTTCTTTTCTTTTTCTTTTTAGAGAGAGAGTGGGCAAGTGGGGGAGAGGCAGAGGGAGAAGGAGAGAGGGAATCTCAGGCTGGCTTCATGCCCAGCACAAAGCCCAACGTGGGGCTCGACCTCATGACCGTGAGATCATGACCT